AAAATATTTAATAAAAGCAAAATTTTGTGTATTCTGTTTATCAAATCTACTTTCAAATATTGTCTCGTTGCCTTTAAAATTTCGTCCGAAAACACATAATTTACGTCAGTCGGTATCATTCGAGTTTCAACAAATAAACAATTTCCGTCAAATTCCCGTCTGTTCAATTTTCTTCGAAAGTGGCCTAACTTCAATAATAAAATGTGGAAGTATATAGAATACCCTAACAAATTTTCCAGTGTTCTACAGCCTAGAAACATAGTTGTAAAGAACCACAAGCTCATTAAAAAGCACTTACTTTTAAAAAAGAAAGATCTGGTAGCAACGACGCGGAAATTATATATAATTAAATAAATCGATGCCGAAAGTAATGATTCACCTTAATGCGAGCTATGCGGGACTGTATGCAAGTTATTCGAAATTGTTTATCAGATGCCATTTTTTGAAATCAGAATTAGTAAATGGTATTGCTCTGTAATAAATCATGGAAAAATCGCTTAATGACAAATATAATGAATATGCATGCACCATCACATAGCCAAATTAAGTTGGAGGTGTTGATTCGCCGACGCAGACAGGAATGATATGAAGATTCAGATGTGTGTCCGCAATATACAGTTACAATATGCGAACGGCGACCGAGAATTTTGTCGGACTTGAAAACTAACTCAGAGCGTAAAAGTTCTTATTTTAGAGGTTTAGTATTAAGTTTCACTGGGCATAAACTAAGTAACATATGAAGGAATTTTTCAGGATACATTTCGGTGGTGTTCCATTTTTTCAGTGTTGCTTGCTTCAGCAAATTCATTATGAAGCCGGTTGATGATGAAAGCAATATTAGGCTTGCAAAAGGCGAAACAAATGATACCCTGAATTTTACTTTGCGAAATATCCTGATATAAAGATCGAAGCGTAATATCGAAGTGATGACTAACTGATCTGTATGTTTGTGCGTTGTGCATGATAGATCATTTTTGTTTTGATTTTAGTGTATGAAAATAAGCTATCAAATCCTAACGTACTGAAAGCATTGTACAATTTTACTTTCCTGCTATTCTAGATTTCTTTTCGATTATACTGCGAATATGAATTGCTGCGATAATGCTCTGCACGTGAAGAGAATGTATTAATTTTTCTATTTATTCTTGTAGTTTCTGCAAATATTCCAGACGGCAGAATATGTTTTGCAATAAATTGAAGCTCCTGCATGTGTAATTCTTTGTAAAATTACAACGTGTTGTATAAAATCGGGAAAGTTTTTATTTAAATTTGCTGTAACCTGAACGTGAGATTACCGTAGTTCCACTGTAGCTGTTGCGATGGTTTGAATGGGTATATGGCGGTCTCTTTTTCTTGCTATGCAAGAGAGTTCCAGTAACAATATCCACGGTTTCCGCGGCATTGCGAGTGATGCACATGAATTTACGTCGATTGACCCTTCTGTTGAGGAGATTGCTGCCCGCAGATGTGAGTGATGAATAGTCGCTTACTTATTACAATTCGACACTTCAGTTATTCGAATAAACCAGATTTAATTTGCAGTGCAGAAATATTGCGGTATTTATATTTAGGCATTTGCATAGGCCTGTTTTGTTGTCAGATGTTATCATTTCCATGTAGGTAAGGAGGTGCTTTAGTTTCGGAAGTTACAGTCTTTTAGATGATTTTTGACTCCAAACTTATGATCTGTTGCAGACGATCAGGAGGATTTGAATGCTCAGTCGCCCCCTTACCTTGAAGAATATTCGTGAGACATGAGCAGAAGTTTCTGCACTGTTCTGTCGCATGACTGACAAAATTATTTATGTCTATGAATAAATCGTGTTTTGAGCTTTTTTCGGAATGAACAGCAACGCAGAACCAAATACCGTTTTCGGAAACTTTTTACGCGTAAGCTTTCGTGAGTGTGTAATAATAAATTTATAGAAGTGTGATGTAATTTTTTACATTAACAAAAAGTTAAAGTTTCAGTTCTAGATGTACCTTATCCGCGAAGTGGTCATCGAATTGTGGCTACCGATCAGCAGATGGTATCGGTAGGGGGCTATAATCGCAGCTCTCTCGATCGAAATGATTACAGTCAAATTTTGCAAGAAGTAACGATTATAGCTATTGTCCGTAGACGACACTTGTTCAAATACATTATTTTATTTAGGTATGGTCTTTGAATTTGTTGACTGGCAAATGGACTTTACTTGAGACTACGGGAAGCATGCCTTCGCGATTAGCATCGCATTCTGGTAAGTTTACGTCAGCGCAGATGAATCAGCGTTGACAGAGAGTATTTTGTGTCATTAATGATTAGTGACGCTTCATCGAAATTGTCGGGTTTTTTAGACGGTGATTGTTGGAGATCAGTCTGTTTATAAACCGTTTGCGGTCAGTCCCTTTTAACGCAAAGGATCAACGTACACATAACGAAAAAATATCCTGAACAAACTACGCCGTTTTGAGGGACAAGGGTCGAGTTTTATGCCTGCTACACTATCATCGCCATTTACTCCATTTTAAGTTGTTAATTGTTAAACTGTCTTGTTAGTGGTTAATGCAATTGTG